CGAAATGTGTTGATCCTCCCCGACATTGAAGAAATCTGTACGTACTCTGCCCGCCATCTTCGTCGAAAGTTTGGACGCCGCGCGGCGAAATCGGAATGTACATTTCAATCGATAACGTAACTGATACAGTAGCGCGCCGTGTGGGTGTAATTTGTTTATAAACAATTTAGTCTGACTGACTCTCTCTCTCTCTCTCTCTCTCTCTCTTTCTCTCTCTCTCGCCCCCTCTCTCCTCTCTCTCTCTCTCTCGTCTCTCTCTTCTTCTCTTCTCTCTCTCTCTCTCTCTCTCTCTCTCTCTTTCTCTTTCTCGCCTCCTCTCTCTCTTCCTCTCTCTCGCTCTCTCTCTCTGCAATAAAAAAAATGTTTGCTGAAACAGTTGCGTACACATCACCTTCAAGTCAAGTCATAGGTTGATATACATAAGGTGGCAGATTATTGGGTGCTGAACCTGATATTGTTAGTAATTATTGTATTATTGTCATAATCATCGTCACCATCATCTTCATCATCATCACCATCATCCTCATCATCATCTTCATCATCATCACCATCATCCTCATCATCAACAACATCATCATCACCATCATCCTCATCATCATCTTCATCATCATCACCATCATCCTCATCATCAACAACATCATCATCACCATCATCCTCATCATCAACAACATCATCATCACCATCATCCTCATCATCAACAACATCATCATCACCATCATCCTCATCATCAACAACATCATCATCACCATCATCCTCATCATCAACAACATCATCATCACCATCATCCTCATCATCAACAACATCCACATCACCGCTATCAATGTTATTGTTGTTGCTATTGTTGTGTTTATTATGTGAAGTCAGGTGGTTTAACAGCAGCAAGTGTAGAAAACACATGAGCACTGGAAGTATCTATTCTATTTATGAAACTCTGGTTGGTGTTAAATTAATGCCACTTTGCTGAAAACAGCAACCGATTTAGGAAAATTTTAATTACCTTATCATAATGCAGTGTGAAATGTATCAGGTGGCAAATATGGCTATCACAAATGATTAATAAGAGCAAATGCTGAGATAGCAATGAACCAGATGTGTAAATTCTAACCCCTACAGTAGCCTATACTAAGCTCCTATATTAATTAAAAGCTTGCGTGATTGATGTAGGGTCAGCAATTTATCTATTAATATTCCAGAAAAGGTATGTGGAATTCGAAAGTACATAAATGCATTCAACATTATGACAGCGATACCTTTATCACGATGCCTTACTCCGGTAAAATGTGGCTCCTCTACGTTTTCATCATCGAAGTCATCGATATCCAAGATGTCAGGAGCTATAAGAAAACACATAGGATAAATTAACATTCCGCACATAAAAATGACTGTACTATATATCACCCCGTCCAAAAACTAGGTTTGCTCATGACCACGTGAACTACACTCAATCATAGATACTGAACATATGTGACACACAACGTTTACATGTTGACTGAAGTATACATAGTAACATTAAACAAATAATCCAAGTCAAAAATGTATGAACAACGATTTCAGGAATAGTTTTGTTCTAAAATAATAATTATTAATTAATGCTATTCATATTGATAAATTTTAATCAATCAATTAAAATGCTATACTTTTTTTTACACAACAAGTGTAGGACTTGGGGTGAAAATCATTTCTAAGACTTCAACTGTCTGTGCCAGATATTGGACACTGCTATAACAAGAGCCGCAGAGCGTCTGGGCTCATCTGAGGTCTGTTGCTACGGTTATAAACGTAACATTTCAGTCGTGCGTAGTGACACCTTTGTTAGGCGCATTTATATGCAGATACAACTGAGGAAATGAATATGTGCGAGTGCATTAAAGCCGGTATCTAAAGGTTTTTACGTACAAAACAAGTGAATTCGAATCTTCAATTCTACCTCAACACTGCCCAACTCCCAAGTTAACTACATCTCCTGCTAGTTGAACAGCGATAATGCACCATGGAGATAAATCCTCATTCCCTACGACTTCCTTTAACCAAGATCCCTAGTCATTGCAGCTTTTCTGGGTTTATGTAGACAGTCTCTTTGCTAATCTCATGTGCGCGCGTGGGTCTCATGTATTTGTTGCGTGTTATAGGATGCACGCACGAGTCGCTGGCCATACACGCTTCGCACTCGATCGACTTCCGTGGCGAGGCGATCACGTTCAAGGCGACGACGGCGGGGATCCTCGAGACGCTCTCGTTCTGTATCGATCTCGTCGCGCAGCGGGAGGAACTGTGGCGACGAAGAGTGGAGAAGGTAGAGGACCGCGCTGCGTGGCGCGCGGACGACGCAGTCGTCGTAACCAACGATGTGTTCCTGTCGGCCGGTGTTGTGTTCCTGTCGGCCGGTGTTGTGTTCCTGTTGGCCAGTGTTGTGTTCCTGTCAGCTAGTGATGTGTTCCTGTTAGCTAATGATGTGTTCCTGTCAGCCAGTGATGTGTTTCTGTCGGCCGGTGTTGTGTTCCTGTCGGCCAGTGTTGTGTTTCTGTCGGCCAGTGTTGTGTTCCTGTTAGCTAATGATGTGTTCCTGTTAGCTAATGATGTGTTCCTGTCAGCCAGTGATGTGTTCCTGTCAGCCAGTCGTGTGTTCCTGTCAGCTAGTGATGTGTTCCTGTTAGCTAATGATGTGTTCCTGTCAGCCAGTGATGTGTTCCTGTCAGACAGTCGTGTGTTCCTGTCAGCTAGTGATGTGTTCCTGTTAGCTAATGATGTGTTCCTGTCAGCCAGTGATGTGTTCCTGTCAGACAGTGATTAACACTGCAACACTGCACTTGTAAGCATTATCACTGATTATGAGCAATGTTGTCTGAACGAATAGTGCGTTTCTACTAGCTACTTAGCTGTGTGAGATGGAGCCGATAGCTATAGTGTGTTGTGCCTGCTGAATAAATACATTTAGGTGTCTTGCATTAGCTAGAGTTATTTTTCTGATACGGTCGTCCCTACTTTTATCAGATTGGGAACCGTGAAAATGTTCCGATTAAGCAGTGAAAACATTTCAACGCCCATGGGCACACGTATTTGCACACAACACACACTGTAAAATACACACAACATACGATACACATGAGTTAAGCTCTAAAAATGTTTTGTAAGCTGATTATATTTAGAATCCGCTGAAAACTCGAGAATTGGCAGTTTGTTTTTAAGTTTAAGATTGTTTGACAACATTCTCTCAAGAATGAAGGTTGTTCTGCAGAAAATATCTTGTTTAACTGAAATCCTGTCCTCTTTGTCCTGTTAAAATGCGTAATGATTGTTTTTCTAAGACAAACAAACCTGTTTCAAATATTGTTTGCCATTTAAGCGAAGCACCCGTTTACCCAAGTCCTATACAAGTAGAAATTAATTGTGCTCACAGTATATATTACATCTGGAAAGTCAAAATCAATTACAAATTTTTATTGTAATGCATCTTCATGTCTATTTAGGAGGTGGATAGGAGAAAGAAAGCAGAGGAACTCTACAAGCAAGCACATGAAAAGCTAGATGAAGCGAAAAACACGAGGCCGATAGTTCTCGGTGGTCCTGACTACGAGGTATGGTTTCATCGTGGTCTATTATAGTCGGAATGTATATGGCCATGATAATTACACAGGCCTTATGAAATGAATACGTGTCACGTGACTTAATGCGCGCTGAAGAACTTTGTCCTCGCCTTCATCGATTTATGCTGGTTGTGTAACTTTATTGCTTCCTCATCAGTTTATGCTTGCTGAGTAACTCCATCCTTCTGACAAAATTTATGCACTGGGTACGACTTCATTCTTTCCTTGTGGCGTTATCCCTCCTCTGCTTCCTATAACTGCCCCTGCCCTGTCACTTTATCCCCATGGCGTAACTCTGTCTCTGCCTCATGGCTAATTACCTACTTCATGACTTTGTCCCTGCTGCTACAAGACACTATCCCTGCCTGCACTGCGTGGCTGTATTCCCGCCGTCCTGAAAAGCTAAGCTGCTAAGTTACTAAGCATGTATGAATGGGTCAGTCGAGGCATGAAGGGTATGCTGCTGCACGTTGCAGGAGGGACCGTACTGTGCAATAGGAGAGGATGAATTCTTTGATGCAATCGATGCGGCTTTAGACAAGCAGGACAAGGAAGATGAACTCGTAAGTTAAATCTTTCCAACGTCTTAGTCACACTCGTCAGATGTTAAGATCATTGATGACAATGGCTGAATCAAATGAGGAGGATTATATCTTCCATTATGGTGTTCCATTTCCGTGTCCTCATTCAGTGAGAGACTCAAGAGGATTTTTTCTGCAACTAACTGCTTTTTCTATTAATTTGGTTTACGAGAAAATACTTATATTTGCTAATGCCAGAGGTGAAAATAAAAGATAAATTTACCATGGTCAATGACCCACAATAACGTCGTCTAAATAAATGTAAAACTGAACCATTTGTGTTTTGTATAGCAGCTCCTGTCATGCTTTAAATAGTAACAAAACAGTATACTTCATTTTAATTTGCAGGTAGGTATTTTTTTAGTCGGTGTCAATGAAAGATCACTTGAGGCCATTTAATTTTGATTTTCATTTATATTTTGCTTCATTGGCGGTTACATAAACCACGATATTAAGCGTAAAGAAGCTTGATGCACAACTTTTCTTTCTCGAACGACTACGCGTCACACATTATGTGATACTTATGACAGCTTTCTCTATCCACATTAGTTGCTGCGACACAGAAACGTGGTCGCACTTCCGTCAGCACCACCACCTCTGCCAATGCCATCGAAAACCAGATTGACTCCAGAGGTATGTGCGACAAGAGAACAGTAAAGGATTTTCAGGGTTGCTGATGCTTCCCCATGCTCACTATAGCAGCTGGTTTTGTGTAAATAATTGCTTTCATTCTTGTTGGCTTGGATTCAGTGGCTGCCACGTGTATTTTATCGTAGCTTGTTCAACGAATGACATACAGTAAAAACCCGCGTATAAGAACATAGATTTTAAGAACATGTTAGGCTAAAATTTCCCATTTAGACCCCTTTACATAAGAACCTGTTTTAGGCTAAGATTTTAAAGTAGGTTCTTAATTTTCCATGTTTTTTTCCCATTTTTTTCTCCTCCATTTTTTGGCATGTTGTTTTATTTCCTTGGATACATACTGTATCATACAGTATGGTAAGCACTGAAAAACTTACACTGTAGCCCATCATGGGTATTAATTAGCAAAAATTGCAGTCCTTGTAAGAAAATTTTAACACAATTTGAATCAAGTATAAGCTTATACATATTAAAAGTAGAAACAATTAAGAACCTATTTAAGAACCTTTTGAGCCTAATTTTTCAGTAAGCACCATTTATATAAGAACCTATTGAGGCTAACTTGGAAAAATCTATGTTCTTATACGCGGGTTTTTACTGTACTCGCTTGCGTATTGTTGAAGAACGGAAACATTTGTTAAACCAGGTAATTCTATAATCGCGTAAATGGAGAACATCAGAGCATCTCGCGCAAGCAAGCACATTGTGTTACATTAGAGACACAAGGGTCGTAAATTACAAAGACGGCGGCAGACATTGTTGTTGGATTCACTAATGTGTGGCTGGCTTTTTTTAAACCATACCATAGTTGCTGGGCATGGCATTTGATGAACGAATATTTTTTCGTTTTTATTCAGCGAAAATCTTTTAAAGGAGGCTTCTTGTGATGTGTATGGCTGTTGTGAGTATGCAATGTTTGTAATTGCAAATGCATGTTAACAGATTGATAAGATGGTGGCTGAGCACATCAATCTGCTCAGAGCTGGCTGTGGACTCAACAAGGGAAACTGGGAATGCATAGCAGACGACGGTGGAATGAAGGTATGATCCTCTGGCACTTTGCCTACTAACGCTGAGAGGGTCTATGTCCCCTGGGGTACTGCCGGAGCGTACCCTGGGTACGATCCGGTATACCGGAACGAACCCTGGTACTATCTAATATGCCGGACCGTACCTCGCCTACTCCACTAACGAGTCTAGGGAGTCGCCTACTCCCTAACCCTAACCCTAACCCTAATCCTAACCCTAACCCTAACCCTAATCCTAACCCTAATCCTAACCCTAACCCTAACCCTAATCCTAACCCGAACCCTAACCCTAATCCTAACCCTAACCCTAACCCTAATCCTAACCCTAACCATATCAAATAGTGACCAGGGTTACGCACCGGTATACCGGACCGTACCCAGGGTACGTTCCGGCAGTACCCTGGGGGACATAGACCCTATGAGCCCTACTAACTCAACATGACGCCACGCTAGCTTGTTAAGAAACGTGGAAGGAAAAGAAAATCCGCTCTGATTGTTGAGTAATCATCAGGACGTCTGCAGTTTGTTGAGCCACGTTGAAGAAAATGAATATCCTCTTTCATTATGAAATAATTATCACCACTTCTGCAGTTTGTTAAGCAATATAAACAGAAAAGTGTATCCCCTTTGATAATGAGGTATGAGTATATTGAGTCATCACCACGACTGCAGTTTCATTTAGATACGCTGTCACGGTTATATAGGTAAGCCTTATATGCCATCTGGTAGTACTACCTCTCTGGTACATTTGTACTGTAGCACTCTAGTACATTGGCCCTCTAGCAGTCTAGCCAGTTAATGAATTAGCACTCTAGCAATCTAGCACTCTAATACATCAGCTTACTAGCAATCCACCACTCTAATACATTAGATCACTAGCAGTCTAACATTAGTACATTACTCTCTAGCAATCTAGTATATGCTAGTACATTAGCATGCTAGCCATCGAGTACACTATAATCTTTATGCTGGCGTAGGTGTGTGTATTGAGCCTGCTGTCTTACTCACTGTACGACAGGTGTATAGGCTGGAGTTGGAAGAGGATGGTCTTGTATTGGACCCTCTCAGAGCAGTACAGACAGTACAAGGTGTCACCGCTCATGAGCTTTGCCACTACTTCTACGACCCCAGCATCAGAATGGACTGGGATCGTAAGTCGTCTGCGTGTAAACGGTGTTCATTCATTCATTTTGTTGTTTTGTGTATACATAGTAGAACCTGTTGCAAAGATTGCATTCAGATAGAGTGGCACGCGCTTTGTTGATTCGTCTGTGGTTATATTCTGCTTGAGGTAATGTTAGTTGTTACCGCGCACTTGAGTTATAGCGCTGGTTTTTATGTAATTACCATCGTGTAATAGAATTAGCTAGTGTTCGTTCCTATGGTACCACCAGGCAATTAGGTTAGCACTAGCTATTGCTTCTGCTCTAACTATCGTTTTCTCGAAGTAACTTTAGTTTCCCTTCGACCATCATTTGCTTGATATAACATTGACTTACACGTCATTCACCTGTTTCCCTGGCATGATTTGGAGGCATCGCTATCAATTTGGTGTCACGATATCACATTCTAAAAACACAGCCTAGTGATGAAGTGCTGCAAACTCGATATTTGTGTGTGTATGCGTGCATGTACATGTACAAACAAGCTGAGCTGACCTATGAAGCAACAATATCCACAGGGGGGGGGAGCATTTTTGCCAGGCAGATGGGTCAATTATCGTGTGCTTGATGTACCGCCAGCTGTGATGTATATACTCTGTATGTGATGCACCAATAATAATATACAGTGTGTGCTAATAATAACAACTGTGCGCGTTTCACGTCCAGTTTGTGGTTATCTAAGTAAGTGTCACGATAGTTAGCTAACCCTAACCACCGTGTCTGTTTGCGTGTGTGTGCGCGTGTGTGCAGTGACGCTGACCCTAACCACCGTGTTTGTTTGCGCGCGTGTGCAGTGACGCTGACCCTAACCACCGTGTGTTTGTTTGCGCGCGTGTGCAGTGACGCTGACCCTAACCACCGTGTGTTTGTTTGCGCGCGTGTGCAGTGACGCTGACCCTAACGCCACGTGTTGTGTTTGTCGTTGCGCGTATGTGTGCAGTGACGGCTGGACCGCTAACCACCGCATGTGCTGGTGTTTGCGCCGTGTGCGGTGACGCTGAGCCTACCAATGTGTTTGTTTGTTTTTAGCGCCCGCGCGCGTGCAGTGACTGCTGACGCCTAACCACCGTGTTTGTTTGTATTGCGCGCGTTCGTGCAGTGCACGCCTGACGCGCTAACCACCGTGTTTGTTTGTTTTCGCGCGTTGCAAGTACGCTGACCCTAACACCGTGTGTTGTTTGCGCACGTGTGCAGCATGACGCTGACTAACCACCGTGTGGTTGTTTGCGCGCTCGTGTGCAGTGACGCTGACCTAACCGGACCGTGTGGTTTGTTTGCGTCGCTGTGCGGTGACACTGGGACGCTTAAGCCACCGTGTGTGTTGTTTGTGCGCCCGTGTGCAGCTGACGCTTGACCTAACCACCGTGTTTGTTGTTTTCGCGCGTGTGCAGCTGATGCGTGACCGCTAACCACCGTGTGTTTGTTTTGCGCCGCGTGTGTGCAGATGACGCTGACCCTAACCACCGTGTTTCGTTTGTTTTGCGCGCTCGTGTGCAGTGACGCTGCCCCTGCTCCCCTCTACTACTCCTCCTCCCCTCTTCCCTCTCCTCTCCTTTACTCCCCCTTCCCCTCCCTCCTCTCTCCTTCCCCCCCTCTCCCTCCTCCTCCGCCCTCCGTCTCCGCTCCTCTCTTCTCGTCTCTCCCCCCTCCCCTCTCCTCCGCTTCTCCTCGCTCTGCCCCGCCCTTCCCCCCCTCCTCCCTCCTCCTCCCTCTCCCTCCCCTCCTCCCCGTCCCCTACCCGCACCCTCTCTGCCCGCTCCCCCCCCTAACAACGTGTTGTTTGTTCGCGCGCGTGTGCATGACGCTTGACCGCTACCACCGTGTGTTTGTTTGTGCGCGGCTGCAGTGACGCGACCCCTAACCATCGTGTGTTTGTTTACGCGATGTAGTGTGCAGTGACGCTTGCACCGCTAACCGTCGGTGTTTGTTTTGTGCGCGTTGCAAGTACGCTGACCCTAACCACCGTCGTTTTTTTTGCTAGCGGTGTGCAGTGAACGCTGACCCTAACCACCGTGCTGTTTGTTTACCGGCGGCGTGTGCTGTGCAGTGACGCTAGACCTAACCGTCGTGTTTGGCTTTGCTGCGCGTGTGCAAGTGACGCTGACCCTAACACCGTGTTTGTTTGGCGCGCCGCGTGTGCAGTGACGCGTGACCCTAACCAACCGGTGTGTTTGTTTACGCGGCCGTGTGTGTGCATGTGACGCGGTCTGGACCCTAGAACCGTCGTGTTTGAGTTTTGCGCGCGTGTTGCAGTGACGCTGACCGCTTAACCATCGTGTGGTTTGTTTACTGCGCCGTGTGTGGGCAGGTGAGCGTGACCGCTAACCACCGTGTGTTTTGTTGCGCGTGCTAGTGGCAGTGACGCTGACCCTAACCCACCCGTGCTTTCGTTTGTATTTGGGGTCTCTGCGCCGTGTGCCGTGACGCTGCACCGCCTAACCACCGTGTGTTTGTCTTCGTGCGCGCGTGGTGCAGTGACGCTGACCCCTAACCACCGTGTGTTTGTTTCGCGCGTGTGCAGTGACGCTGACGCCTAACGACCGCGTCGTGTTGTGTGTGCGCGTCCGTGCTGCAGGTGACGCTGACCCTACCACCGTGTGTTTGTTTGCGCCGTGTGGTGCCAGCTGACGCTGACCCTAACCACCGTGTGTTTCCTCTCTCTCCCGCCGACGTTTGCGCAGCGTGTTGCAGTGACGCTGACCCTAACCACCGTGTCTCGCTTTGTTGCCGCCGTGTGCAGTGACGCCTGACCCTAACCACCGTGTGTTTGTTTTGCGCGTCGGTGTGTGCAGTGACGCTTACCCTAACCACCGTGTGTTTGTTTGGCGCTCGGTGTGCAGTGACGCTGACCCTACCACCGCTGTTTGTTTGTTTGCGCGGAGCTCCTCCCGGGTGTGCAGGAAACTGACGGCTGACCCTAACCACCCGATGTCTGTTGTTTGCGGCGTGTGCAGTTGCACTGCTGACCCCTAACCACCGTGTCTGTTTGTTTTGCGCGCGTCCTCGTGTGGCAGTGACACTGCGACTCGTCGCGTGTCGATCGAGACGCTCTCGCCCGACACCAGCATCACCCACCAGGCCCTGCACCGGCGCGTGCTGCGCCATCGACGTCGCCGCTGCCGACTCGCTCTTCTGGTCACAGATCCGGCAGGTGAGGGACGAGGAGGACGAGGAGGCGCAGCCGATCTGGACTGCGTCGTCAACTACTCGACCGAGCCATCCCAGCTGTCCGCGTGAGTGGCGCCCTCTGGCGTGCCCGCGCGCGTATCCTCTGCTGGCGGGTCAGTCAGCAGTAGTACGTGTGTGCTGCGTTAGAAGCGATTCGCAGGTGGAAACAGCGGAAAAAATTTATTTTTCGGGGGCTACTTTTCAAGCTCGCGTGCATGAAAATAGCACTCTAAAATTTGGTTTGCATTGAACTCTATGCAAATTTACGGGGGCTGTTTTTGGCATTTCGGGGGCTAAATCGCCCCGAGCCCCCGTGTATTTTTTTCACTGGTGGGAAACCTGACAGGGGCTACGACGTGAACGCGTCTGTGGCCGCACCGTGTCAGGTCCTGTGTGATGCGGTGGCCAGGACGAGTGTAGTGTAGTGACCCGAGAAGAAGAAGGCTGGCGGGGGATGGGCGATTCCCTGGACTAGTCACTAGTGTGGCTTCAGTTGGTTTGTTGAGATCGCATATGACTGGTTTTGCCTGGGACGGTGTAGGCTTGTGTGGTGGCATGTGGTTCCCCGAAGAGATTTTGTAATTTTGCCGCAGAAATGTTTGCCGGCAATATGAGCAGTGTCTCGCCTCGTATGGGGAAGGTCGGGGGTTCAACTCCCGGCCGGTTCATACCAAAGACTTGAAAAATGGTACACACGGCTTCTCTGCTTAGCATTCAGCAAATAGAGATAGTGTGGCAAGTTAACTCGCAGTGCTACCAGTGGACTAACCCCCTACTGTAGCATTTACTGTGAAAGCTGAGCTGCGGGGCCTCAGGGTTACTGAAACGGAGATAGGCACCGCCCTATGCGCCTGTAGCCATGCGCTATGCGTACGAAGGCGCGGGAAGGATATATTTTATTAATATGAGCAGTAGGTGTGCTGTGAGTTTGTACGGCTTTTAACGTTTAGAGATACAAATAGGGAGCGTCATGCAGTGCGAGTATCAGTGAAAAAAATACACGGGGGCTCGGGGCGATTTAGCCCCCGAAATGCCAAAAAGAGCCTCGGAAATGCCAAAAAGAGCCCCCGGAAATTTGCATAGAGTTCAATGAAAACCAAATTTTAGAGTGCTATTTTAATCCACGCGAGCTTGAAAAGTAGCCTCCGAAAAATAAATTATATTTTTTTCCCTGGCGAGCATGTAATGCACTGTTAGCACCAGTAGTACGGCAAGCAAAGCATGGCAATCACCACTCAATTTCAGTTGCATTTACGCTCCAATTATGCTTCTATTATTATATTACTTTCACATTGCAGTACTACTATTCACATCCTATATAGATAGATCTATTTCTATTACATGAAAAATTTTCATGTGTGTAGGTTCTGTGGCTTACACTTCTCTGTACGTACACCAAGTATGTCACCAAGTATCAATCTACTACAGTCAATGTACAACGAATGGCAATGTAAAATACCAGTATGGAACAATGGTACTACTGTCTATCGAGTGTTGCCACGTGCACTCATTCTTGTTCTTCTCGTTAGGTTGTAAAGTGTGTGCGCATCCACCTGAATGTGGCGTTCATCTGTCAGACGATGATCGATCCGCCGTCAGAGGTTGAGCAGCTGACGAGAGATCACATCCGCACCCGCATCACCTACACAGCCGACGGTAGGAGGGCTTCTCGTGTCTGCGCGTCCCCTCTCTCGCGCTTACACTGTAATATTGTACCGTGTTGTGTATACTTGTGAATCACAAGTATAATCACTGCCTATCTTCTGTTGTTCCAGTCTTCCCCTATGTGGTGCCTGCCTCCTCCCCCAATGTGGTTCCTGCATATTCCCTATGTTTTTGATCTGCCGCTTCTCTATGTGGTTCCTACCTATCCTGTATTTCACTCTTATGTGACTGTTGCATCCCTGCATTACATCCATGTGTTTCTAGCATCTCCATCCCTGCACTACATCTGTGTAACCTCTGCATGTCTCTCTATGACAAATAGGAAGGCCTCCTACATACTCATTTATAGCTTGATAGTGTATAGCAGTGTGTTTGTTGTACAGTCCGACCTCCTTTATCCGGCCATCCGTTATCCGGAAATCTCTATTAACCGGCCGCGATCTCGCAGTGTATGTTCTCTGTTTTTCATTCATTTCCACCTAAAAATCTCGCTCAAAACTCGCGCGATGTACCAACCGTACGTGTGTTTGCGTGTGTGTGCGCGTGCACATGTGTGCGTGTGTGTGTTGTCAGCTCGTGTTCGCTATGCCTCCGGTAAAATTTCTTTTTTATTTTATTTTATTTCCATTTCATATAAAGCATAAGACACGACAGTTTGTTACAAATAATCATAGCAACGAGTAAATACATTATCACATGCATAAACCCTACTGAACTGCATAGAAATGCTGTGTTTGAGCATAACTCTCATATCCGGCCAAATCCCATATCCGGATGGGTGCCGGTCCCGACGTGGCCGAATAAAGGAGGTCGGATAATGAGCTGCACTTGAAATAATAATGTGTTACTGTTCGATTGCAGTTAACCCTGGAGGCTGGGCACCGGCCACCGTCATCAGGGCTGTCTACAAGCGCGAGTATCCGCGGTTTGTCAAGCGCTTCTCACAGTTTGTCAAGGACGTGACAGCCAACAAACCGATTCTTTTCTGAAAGGCGATGCACCTGACCAAAGACATCGTTGACACCTGCTGCCATCTTGTGGAACGTAAATGTGATAGTCTTGTTGCTCGGATGATGAGGTTTTACTCTTTACTAGTTCCAGTGTTTTAGCGCTTTTTGAGTGGTTTTTATTTGACAGCAGGAGAGAAAGCAACCATCTTTATTGTGCTCATTAGTAGAGATGTTCGAAAGGAAGGTTGTGCCTTTGAGTCGAGAAAATGAAAGAGTAGAAAGGATCAGCTAGGTAGGCAGCTAGCTATGGGAATGTAGGTTTATGTACATAGATTGGGTCTGCCTCTGTACGATCGTTTGCTTACAGTGAGTTATATTCCTATTGGTTCACTTACATATTATCTATCAGATGAGAGAAATGTTGAGAGCACAGGAATTCCCCAACTGCAGCTAGGATTCTTACAACGTGTGTAAAATAGCTCCTATCTCAGTGTAGCTGTCTATCTGTTGTCGTTTGCAGGTACTGTGGTTTTCTGAATATAATATTACACAAACACAAAGTGTTGGGCCTATAAACAGTATGTATGTGTACACCGTATATATATATATATATATATTATACACAGTATTTATCATAATGTGCAAAGATGATGGCTAGTGTGCTTACCTATACCCTCAGCTTCGAGTACTCTAGTCACAAACTAAATGGTGATGCTGTTTCACAGTACTATAAGCTGCAAGGGTGAAGGTATGCTGTAAGGGGCACAGATCCTATAATCATTCATGAGAATGAGGTGTCTTTCGCACATGAACCAATAAGCTCTGGTGTTCGACAGAGGAAATGTAGTTCGCGGAACCAGAGCATTTGGTGGTTTCCAGAGCATTTTATTTCAAGGAAACTGCAAAGTTTAGTTTTATCACTGTAATTTTTGTAGGAACATATTCGGATAACATGAAAATTCATCATGACCTGCTCACTCTGACACCAGGTTGCGCTGCAGTATAGTGTTGTAGACTGAAAAATGCTGCTACACGAAATTATGCACTCAGTTAGAGTCACTCTATTTGCTATGAGGCTAAAGCATTAACCTGAGACTACTGCACGTTGGACCCCAGTTATCTGGTACCCTCTGAACCAGGTCAGTACCAGACGACTGAAAATTCCTTTACCACTGAAGGTCAGATAAATATCACGAAAAATATCAATACCACACCACCTCTTTGCCTTTGAACTGCAATATTGAAGGGTAATTATAAATGATAGCCAAAAATAAACACAGACCAGTGGGAGTAACGATCGCACATGTAAACAATGTTTGTTTATATGTCACGGGGAATGGTGGTGCCACCGAGTGGCAGCTCCACAAACTAAAGACTGCCAGTTTGAATTTATGCTGGATCGCTGAAGGTTACCGACTATCAGGTGCCGGATTGACGCGGTCCGGTCTATATGTACATATATATATATACAGGTGGATGAAAAAAAGCGATTATTAATTTCTGTGTCGGCGACAAGCAAAGCATAATCAGAGCTAGGCATAATCAAGTGTAGTAGTAGTAGGTCTAAGCATTGTCATTCAAGTGTTTGTCATGACAGTGGTTCGTATGTGAACTTTCGTACAGGTCTATATGTGACGAAACAGTGGTTGCAGCAGTTGTTACCATTGTGAGCTCTTCTTCCTGGTATGTCACATCAGGTTATTCAGTGGCAAAGCCATGCTCGCCTGGAAGTTGACTGTAACCCTCGATATGTCAGACAAAGATGTCGTTGCCGAAAGTGCATTCTAAATGCTCCTGGTAAATCCTGGCGATCGCTACGATAAATTATAGACATAAGGGACGATTTCTTATTCCATATGATTATACGCGTGGTGGTCGTGTTGCAAAATTTGTGATATAGTTGGTATCATTCCCGCGGATGCACTTATGCAAAGCAGGGGTCGGTTGCTATTCTATGTGATTCACGTCCAGTTCGTACTGGTGGCACCACAGATTCCAGGGTGTACACGCAAACAATAACGTTTCATTGGCGCATTTCAGAAGAGGTGATATTTAACGTGATTGTATCATTCATCAAACGAATACCAAAATGTGTGAATTGTGTAGCGTATAGAAGGAGATAATAGCACTTGCATATTTGCTGTTTTAATACAGATTTGTTATTTACCAAGTTATCATTTTCAAGTGATATATTTATATGCAGATTTGTGTTTTGCTGTTGCCTGTGCTCGGCATGTTAGTAGTTATGCCACCTGACCACACTGTCTCAATAGCAGTGACCACACTGTCTCAATAGCCGTGACCCTACCTTATGACTGTTTGTGACCCCACTGTATCACAGTTTGTGAACCCCACCTCAATAGTCGTGACCCCACCATAGCACTGTTTGTGACCCCACCGTGACACCACCGTAGCACTGTTTGTGACCCCACCTCAGACGTTGTGGCCGACCCCACCTCAGTAGTCGTGACACCACCTCAGACGTCGTGACCCTACCGTCTCAATAGCCCGTGAACCCACCGTCATTGTAGCCATGAACCCACCTCACTATCTGTAACCCCACCGTATAAATAGGTTACAACTCCCACCACTGTCTCAATATTCGTGCCTCCATTGTCGCAATGCTTGTTTTTCTGCCATGCAACACCATCTCGATGATGTATCAGAGATGAATCGCCACAAAATCTATCATGGCTCATAGCAGGCAGTGGGTGTCATTCGCTTGCTGCCGTTTAGCGCTGCGCCATTTTTCCCGTTACAACTATTGTCACTTTGCGGTGCCTGTCGGCTCTACTGCTGAGATATTCGTGTCTGTCTTCCATCACATGGCCCTCGGTAACCTGGTATCATCACAACAGTATTATTGCAACGGATATTATCAGGAGTTAATAAAGACAAAGGTTTGTCTTTATTAACTCCTGATATTATCTGTAACGACAAGCTTGGTTACAATATGGTAGTGAGTGTGGGATGCTCGGATTTCGATTCAAGTGTATGTGGTAGTCGAATTTGGCCATTTATAGCGTTCGTGTGATTTTATAGTTGCGGTACCCGTTATATTATGACAAAAGAGGATAATACTTATAAACTAGAGCACTCGGAAAGCGCAGACCTCCGCCAAGGCAGCTCAATTCTCTCACTGAAATTTTTTATTAATTAATTGGATCCGGATCACCACCAAAATGTAATCAATTCTAAGTTACCCCATTTCTGACCTATTCTGAAAATTTTATTAATTAATTAATTCCGGATCACCACCAAAATGTAATCAATTCTAAGTTACCCCATTTCTGACCTATTCTGAAAATTTTATTAATTAATTAATTCCGGATCACCACCAAAATGTAATCAATTCTAAGTTACCCCATTTCTGACCTATTCTGAAAATTTTATTAATTAATTAATTCCGGATCACCACCAAAATGTAATCAATTCTAAGTTACCCCATTTCTGACCTATCATGGACAATTACATCCATAACTTTTTTAATAGGCTGTACAAAACAAACCAAAACGACAAAGCCACAACACACGCCGGTGAAAACATAACCTCCTGCCAACCCCTTGGCGGAGGTAATAATATGTATTGTCCTCTCTTGAATAGTAGTAACCCGTGCAACGCACTATACGCAATATAGCTTCAAACGCGCAATGATCCAAGCTCCAGTTACTGTGGATTTAGTCTATACTATGATTTTATGCTCGTTGATTGGAGTGTGTGATATTGTTGGTTTGATCAAATAAGGAAACCGCCTTTTTACAAAACTATGAGGTTTTGAGTATCGTATACAAAAGTGTATGCGCTGGTAAGGATTATTAATCATTAAATCCTTTAATTAAATTATGTCGCGGTAGATAATCAAGCAACGTCACCTAGCAGTCGAGGTGGCAACATACTGCGTTTACCCATTCTATATGCTCCGTTGTTTTTTATTTTAATGGTCCCAATGATGTGATATATTAAGCACTCGACCAAGGAATTGTTGCATTTTTATTAAATATTTTTCCCCTCGTAAAATTTCCTTAATAATTCGCAATTTGCGTTAATATTTATGTAAATACTACGTATTATGAAGTGCGTGTCGTTCGTACATGGTTTCGTAAGTTATGTTTTGCTATAGAAATGTTGGCGCGGCTGCGAAGGCGCGCTGATCATTGTTTGTTTGTCATATTCTTTTATCCCGCTATCTTTAGCTCATCTGACATAGTCAGATGCAGCTTGTAGAATCGCATGATCGTGCGTCCGGCCGTGGGTCAACAGTTGGGCACAAATCTTAACGCTCGACGTTCGGTCACGATTGTCGGACGTGGGGGGGGAATCCGAAAACAGGCTGGCATGTCGAGCTGGGGCTCTAAACGGCTCGACCTAGGGTCGTGATAGTCGGTGTATAGCATCATGGTAGGAAAAGCATTTATCATTTTAGACATTTTCTGAGGACATGGTCTGACGGAGCGATTGAAAAGCTTTTTTGTTTTGGCGGTGACCTACCATTTTTATGGCTTTATTGAAAGTATCATGAAATGTGCTTTCCACTGACGTGCGAAGAGTAAGTGTCTGATAACCTTTTGACCCTCAAGGGGAGGGTTAAACATGGATTTGTTGACTGTTAACAAAGGACTGAACTGCTTTTGCTATTGGAGCCCTCTTCAGCCGCCCCACCCTCCCCCACCCTCCCCCACCACCACCACTACGCTCGCGCTCGACGCATATTCATGATAACGTTAATATAGTGAAGTCATTAAAGCTACACAGCTATATCTTTATTACTGTACTACCGGTATAGCAAAGCCTATCAACGCGGTGGCGGGAGGGCGCACTTGATTCGGTTGCCAGTGAGTTTATCAGAAGAATAGCTGGCTACAGTATACGTCAGTTGAGCGCTGTCGCTCTGCGGCACTTGTTTTTGTTTCTTCCGTTTCTTTTCTTGTTGTTGCTGATTTCGTCGTTGCAGTTTCGTTTTTTTGTTGTCGCTGTGAAGAAACCCACTTGTGTTTGTTACCTAACTACACGTGTGCAGTGCCTACTGGTCGGAACTCTGCACTCACAGTGCGGGCGGACGTGACTAGTTCAGCTGTGTTGGCCTATATTTTGATTTTACACGCTTTTACTAGCTTGCGGACGAGACGCGGAGTAGTGGTGAACGGTACTCATCAGTTGTGAACATCGTGACGTCGGTGTATCGCGTATATGACGTCACGCGGTATGGCTCTGTAGGCTAACTACGGGTTGCTATCAGATTACTTTGGCTTACCATCGACGCAACTAGAAGCTAAGCTAGCTAGCCCACGGTGGTTAGCAGCTAGTTAGATGGCTAACAATAGCCAACCGTTTGAACAATGTGATCTTCCCGTGAGTATGTATGCGTTCAGATATGTGTTTATATTTTCGGAAGCATCTTGTTTCTTCATCTTATCTTGGATGTGGTTGTTGCCGTGTTGTTTCCATTCTTCGTGATGTGCAAATACACTTGGGTAAATTTATTTGTACGTTGGCTGTTTATTTCTTGTTTTCCGCCTGGATTCACAAGACTACAATATACACAACGACAACAAACCCGACTAAATATTGTTCTGATTTCATATACGATATAAATTTATTCATAAATATTACAACATCAATAATTGAATTCCAACAATCACATCAAATAGTATATATTCGCTAAAGCATTCTTTATCTTTGATCTGCAGTAGTAGTTAAAATATGTATGACGCTCGTAAAACAAGTTTATATAATACAATGTCGATGAAGATTCGTCATCAGGTGGCGTGTAAGTCGATCCACGTATACAAGATTGACGCGTGAAACGTTTACCTACGCGAAGCTTAATACATTGGTAGTTTGTGCACAGGCGGCATACGCGAAAGCAATGACGTCAGTCCGTAGTTACGGTCCGTCCACTGCTGGAAGCTCGGGTGTGGGGGAAATGCGGGTGGCGCCGACATAGGGGAAGGTGGCGTGAAACCAGCAGGCGCCAGCAGCGAGGAGTTAGTTAGGCTGGGCGTCGACAGGGGCGCTGCCGGAGTGTGCGATCGTAGGAAGCCGTGTACGGGATATGACGACAGAGCAGCGGAACTAAGCAGCATCGACGTCTGCAAGGGTGCGGCGTGGGAACTCACCGCAGCAGCAGCAGACGAGAATGAAGCGTGCGTGAACGACGCCTGAGAACTTGCTACGGACGGGAAGAAGCCATGAGAGGTGGCCACCAGCGACGGAGGCGTGCTGGGTGAAGGAGCAGCAAACGGCAGCGGGGGCGACAGCGGACAGTACTGCATCGGGTAGTAGGGCGGCGTCGCCACGCGGTAGCGCTGCGACAGCTCGCTGAGCAGCTGCGACTTCCTGGCGCGTCTGCGCGCGCGTCGCCGCCGGAAGTCGCCCTTCCCGAAATCGCCGACGTTCGCCGGATGTATCGCCCAGTAGTTTCCCTTTCCGTTCTCGCTGCGGCCGGCCTTTATGAAGCATTCGTTCAGCGACAGGTTGTGACGAATGCTGTTCCTCCAGTAGCGGTCCTCGTTGCGGAAGAACGGATGCGAGTCCATAATGAACTGGTAGATTTCACTGAGCAGCATCTTCTTGTTGGCGGCGCTGAGTATCGCCTTCGATATCAGCGCGATGTACGAATAGTTCGGCTTCTTGGGGCTCCTCACTGCCGACTCCTTCTTCTCGTCGTCGGCTGCCGACGGTTTTGCGGACGTCGTCGGCTGTGTCGGCTCGCTGTCGGAGTCACTGGTCGTAGTCTCGTCTGTTACGGCGAGGAGTCGGCTCTCCTGGTTCTCGGCAGGGAGTTGGTGGTTGTCGACCTGACCGTGGTAGAACTGCATGCTGCAGCTGCTGTAGGGTGGCACGTGGTCGCGCGGCTTCTGATGTCGCTCTGCCATCAAACCTTCAATACTGAACAGCGTCATGTTGGCGCGCAGCGGTAAACTTGTGACTGCAGTTGATGTTCCTGTTGGCTCACTCTCTCGTCTCTGGCTGATCCCTCTCGCGCTCAGTCTCAGCTCTGTGTGTGTGTGTGAGAAGGTTGCCGTACTGCGGCTGATAACAAAGCCGAGGTGCTTGATAGCTCACGTTCACTGGTCTCTCTCTCTCTCTCTCTCTCTCTCTCTCTCTCTCTCTCTCTCTCTCTCTATCTCTCTCTCGCTGTCTGTATAGGTAGGCTTACGACGGCTGAGATCCTTGATAGCTGACTCTTCCTGGCTCCGTCTGCGAGTTTGAGTATAAGATATAACTCTTCTGAATTCTCTCCGCCGTCAATGACTACTAGAAGTGAATCCGTCTAAGTTGTAAATGCACGTAGTAACTGTGGAGACCTCGGAGAGAGGACGCACGGCTTTTATATGCAAACAGTCCGAGGCGCTCGGAGGACGTCCGCTCATTGGGCGGAGATGGCACGGTGCCAATCAAGCGCAGTTGCCCGCTTGTTGATGGCATCTCTGAATGACCCTTAACGAAGATGGGCGCATACAACTTGACGGCGTGTCACAAACAACGGCTATGTTCGTAATTACGTTGTGCTCTAACAATGCAGCGACGACGGGAAAGCCCATAACAGACTCGTTCGCACCTGCTTACATGCTACGTAAGGTTGGACAAGTCTCAATTTATGTTCCTGATTTTGCGAAATCCCGGTCACGCAATGGGCGAGAAGACAATGAATGTGCTGCAGACAAATTTATCGCAGGCAATACACCACACCGTAATAATTTACTCTCGGTTGACTGCATTTATTATTTATTATGCGTAAAACTATTAAACATATTGCTTAAGGTTAGTGTTGTTTGATAATTCTGCGCATCGACATTGTTACCTATACGCTTAACTTATGCATTAGACAATGAACTTATGTATGCGTGTGTTTTATTTATATAGGCCTACATGTTAAAAGTGTATAGTTATACATACATACTGCTGACATCTGCGAAATACCATATTTATTATTGCTGGCGTGCATTTGTATTTATATTTATTGTATAATTATTTGTATTTAGGATTCATAGTAGTTCTCTCTGCTAATATTACCTTAGACGGAGGAAGTGAATGCTGGGAGATAAACAAAGAGAAAGAGAGATTAAGTAGAGATAGAGAGATAGACAGAGGAAAAAATCAAGGGGGAAAGAAATAGAACGAGAGGTAGAGGAGTAGGTATATATATATGTATA